TTTCTGTGAAACATGACATTGAGAAGCAAGTCTCAAAGTCTAAGTATTGTACCACTTACCCATGCAGTCTGGACCCCAGTGGCCTGGGCAACATTGAGGTTGGAGATATTCCTTCCTACAAATATGGCGGCATCCGGGGAGAGACAGAGAATATGTCCTGACCTCAAAGGTGTACCTTAGAAGGTAAAGAGAGGACATTAACACATGATAAGAGCAATGCAGTTAACTCTAAGAGGTAGGATTGTCCTAGATTTTTTTTTTGGGTCTTTATATCATTAAATAGTATAGACTGAACACATTTGCCTTTCTAGGTAGAATGAAACTTAATTATGAATTATATTTCATTATAAGAAATGGATGGGAAAAAATCAGGAAACAATGAAAATAGGGGGGAAATATCTAAAGTGATATCAGAAGAGAAGTTAGTAGATGAAATAAATGATATTAGACCCTAGGGTCACGCTAGAGGTGGGCCTCAAACTTGTCAGTGAGTGTCCTAGCAGTCACTGCAAGAAGGGAAAGGCCATGAGTTACATGGTGCACAGGATCTGTGGATTTAAAACAAACCTATTGCTCAGGATTAGCATATTTACTGCAGATACTGTAGATGTAGAAATTTCTGTGGCGGAGGTGGTGTAATGTAGTAAGCAATATTCACCACAATATCCTACTAGGAGATATAATGATCACTTCCTTGTAACAGTTTCTAGTACTGGCTGAGGTACAGTTCTGGAATAGCAATTCTGTGGAGGCTAAACTCCATTGTCTATGTACAGGGATCTCTGTGGCCGTGGCTTATTCCAGGATTAGACTATAGTGCATCTAGAGACAATCCTCCATGAATATTGTTTTTTTCAAATGGGCTGTTGTTAAGACTAGTGTGATGGTGAGTTCGAGGTTGTCCTCCCAAACCAGTCCCTGAAATGTACGATTAACAGCAGAGCCACGTGCTTTATGGACAGTCATGGTGGGAATAGAGCTGAGGATTTTTTTTTTTTTGAAATGTTGAGAATACTGGTATTGACATCTGTCTCTTCACAAAGAGGGGTAGAGGGAGAGCCCAAGGGCAGAACCAAACATCCCCTCAGGAACTAATTTTATAAAGACATACAAGTGGCCAATAAGTGTGTAAAAATGTGCTCAACATCACTAATCATCAGGGGAAGGCAAATCAAAACCATAATGAGATATCACCTCATATTTATTAGGATCACTATCATAAAAAACAAACAAACAAAAGACCACTCTTGGTGAGGATGTAGAGAAAAGGAAATCCCTGTGCAAATCCCTGTTGATAGGAATGTAAATGGGTGTAGCCACTATGGAAAACAGTATGGAGGTTCTTCAAAAAATTAAAAATAAAACTACCATATGATCTATCAATCCTACTTTTGGATATATATCAAAAAAAATTGAAATTGGAATCTCAAAGAAATATTTGCACTCCCGTGTTCATTGCGGCATTATTCACAATAGCCAAGACATGGAAGCAACCTAAACACCCACTGGTGGATAAATGGCTGAAGAAAATGTGGCACGCACATACAATGAAATGTTATTCATTGCCTTTGCAAAGAAGGAAATCTTGCAATTTGTGACAATGTGGATGAACCTGGAGGACACTGTGCTAAGAGAAATAAGCTAGACACAGAAGGACATACACTGTATGATCCCACTTATGTAAGGAATCTAAATACTCAAACTCATAGCAGCAGCGAGTAGAAAGGTGGTTGTCAAGGATTGGAAGGATGGGAAATAGGAAAGTATTGGTCAAGGGTACAAAGTGTATATTTTATGTAAGATGAAAACGTCCTAGAGATTTACTGTATAGCATAATGCCTATAGTAAAGAATAATGTAATATATGCTTAAAAATTTGCTAGGAGGCTGGATCTTATGTTAAGTATTGTTTCTTTAAAATAAAACTATCCTTTTTAGAAACACGGTCTTGCTCTGTTACCCACCCTGGAGGGCAGTGGCATGATCATAGCTCACTGCAGCCTTGAACTCTTGGGCTCAGATGATCCTCCTACCTCAGTCTCCTGAGTAGCTGGGACTACAGGTGCACATCATCATGCCTGGATAATTTTTGAATTATTATTATTTTTTTGTAGAGACAGGGTCTTGCTATGTTGCCCAGGCTGGTCTCGAACTCCTGGCCCAGAGCAATCCTTCTGCCTCAGCTTCCCAAAGTGTTGGGATTATAGGCATGAACCACTGTGCCCAGCCAAGTGGTCTTATCACACACGAAAAAGAGGGAAGGAGGAAACTTTTGGAGAGAATGGATAATGGATTGTGATGACGGTTTCATGGGTATATACTTATCTTCAAACTCATCAAGTTGTATACATTAAATATATACAGCTTTTTGCATGTCAATCATACCTCAATAAAGTGGTTTAAAAAAAAAAAACCCAAAACATAAAACAAAACCAAAGAACCGATCTGAGTTTGCTCTAGCAGAGATGAATGACAGATCAAAGTCTTCAATTCTAAAATAGAGCATGAATGCAAAAATTCTATCGTGTATGTGTGTTGGGGGTGGAAGGGATATAACCAAGTGCCTATCTTGGCCTTGAACAAAAAAGTAGCCAGTATAAAAAAGTTCCCAGTGAAGTAGCCATATAATTTTAACTTTTAACCCTAAATCTTTCTGATATTATTCTAATGCAAATTGAAATGGGTTGCAAATGTGTGCCTACTTGGGTCATTGAGTGTTCACTGCTGCATATGTTTACTAATTTTAGGCCAGTTAATGCTGGGAAACTTTTACTAAAGATGATGACTGGGGTTTTATAATAGAATATAGTGTGGTCACATTAAGCAAATGTGAATTTAAAATATTATGATAGAACAGTGTTAAGGTTTCATTTTATTTCAAGATAAAAAATAATACTAACCCTTCATCCCCGGATTAAAAACAAACTCATTGAGTACTGTCTAATTTCTAAATTAGTAGACTGACTAAATACAAAATTACATTTGCAGTTGAACTTTGTGGCTGCTTCCATTAGCTGGTGAGCAGAACTGTTTGTCATCCTTTGCCAGGATTAGCCTTGAATTACAAGAGTTTTGAATCCTAAGAGGTCTTTAAGAATACAAAGTTACATAAAATGCAATCAAGCTGTAATTCATTTGTCCTCCTTCTTTGGGTTCTAATTACTATCAGGATTGACGGCTAGTTAGTGAGATGACTACCAGACCTGAGACTTAACATGTTCAAGACTACAACCTTTTCCAAATGAAACAAACCCCAGATTTTCAAAGTAAAGATGGGCAAGATAAAGGGAGAATGTTTATGTGCAATGCAATGTAGTCAATTTTGTATTAAAATGTGAATCGATAATAATATATGATTTAGACTCAAGTTCATAAATTGTGAGTTACCTAAGTTTGGGCCTGTTGTCTTAGAGCAAGAGAAAAGCCATGGAAACACTTTGCAGTTTTTGAGATAGGGAGTTTCAGTTTGGATTCACAATTACTCAAGTTACAAGATTGGAGCACACTTGTTTTCTCATGAGTACCTGCAATCTCGAACCCCTACAGAGCCATTGGTAATCTTGGTGTAACCGTCTGGGCACTTGACTTCAAAGTTGAGCGAGCAGGATCGGCACTGGGTCCTAATTGTTAGAAGAGACTTCTTATCGCATCTTTTTGCCTGTGCAAACATAAAAGAGAACACCAATTCCTGTTAACAGAGCCTTGCAAAATATCTAGCTTGGCCGATCTTCTCCATTGGCTTCAATTCGGTGGAATGTCTGGGATGGCAGTGAGGTTGATTGGTCATGACTGGCTTGCTGTTTTCAGCCTTATCTTGACAGAGTGTTGGAATCAGCAAGTAATGTCTGCATGGCTGTGGGTTGGGGAAGGGGCATTGTTTGTACCACACGTTTGCCATCCCTGATCTGGAGTCTGGAGTCCAGCAAGGTAAGGTAATGTCATATGTGTCATTGCACACACATATCCAAATGGGAAACCTGAAATATCTTGCAGAATACCTATTCAAATGGAAAACTGATAAAGCGGGTTATTCAAGGTCAATTGGCTATAGATCACCAGGTCTCAAGGATATTCTTCCATCATTGATTCCACAGGAGTAGCTGCTCTGGGGCCAGCATATTGCTAAATGCTGTGGGGATGCAGTTCCTATACCAAAGGTTTTTGCAATCTTTAGATTACAATCCAGCTAGAAGGTGGGCTCTAGGAGGGCAACGATCTTTTTCTGTTTTGTCCATGCTGTACCCTAAATCCCTAGAATAGTGTCTTACATATAATAGTTCTTCAGTGAATATTTGTTGATTAATGAATGAATTGGGGAAATCAGACAGACACACTAGAAACAGTTATTTAGCAACATAAGGTGGCAGAGAATTAACTGCTAAAATAAACGATCCAGACCAAATTTGGCCCTGTCTTTAGGAAATCCATCTGGGAGGCTGACCTTTTCTTAAGTTTCCTTGATCTCCCCATCAAACTCAAGATGAAGCAATCCTGTATAAGGAAGAGAGACTGAACTTGGGGGTCAAAAGACCTAAATGTGAAGTCAAGCTCTAGATCTTGCTAAGTGTACAATCTTGAGTGAATGCCTTACCCTGTAAAGGAAAGATATTAATAGCCACTCTCGAAGTTTGAGACCTTAAATGACATAACAGGTGCAAATTTCCTGCCACAATGTCTGGACTGTCATGGGTGGTAAATGCGAGTTCCTGTAACTCTTCTCCACCCCCCACTCTGCTTTGCCTGTTGTCTTTCCTGACTGGCATATTCTCTCCCCTCCCCCGGGCCACCCAAACCACATCCTTCAGGGCCATGTTTAAGACCACCTCTTCCACAAAACCACACTCATCTCTTGTCCTTTTCTCAACTTCTGTGGCTGGTTCTGTGGATCACATTTCGTTGGTCTTTGCTGTCCATTTAGAAACCCCTTGACGGGGAAGATCATGTCTCCAACTTCTGTGTGATCCCACAGCTCATGGGCCCAGTGCCAGGTTAGGTGTGTGGAAATGAAATATGTAAAGTCTGCATAGGAAGAAACTTTACATTTGCAGAACAATTTGTGGTTATGCACACTTCCAAAGGCATTATCTTATGTGATCTTCACCACTCTAAAGATAACTAGGACAGATATCACCTTCCTCACTTTAGTGGGAAGAAAATAGAGGTGAGGATGTTGCAGTGACTTGCCCAAGGTCTCCCTCTAAGTTACCAGTCTTGTTATTCCTTGATTAGCCCTTTAGCTTCTATGCACCTGAGTGGTAAATAGAAAAGCGAAATCTCTGTTTTTACTGGTAGCTTTCATTTGGTGATCATTATGAACCAAAATAGCACTGGAATGTTCTTTGTGGTCTAATCACAAAACCCATACTTAGATACAGTTTGAATTAACCTCCTTTAATTGTCATGTCACCTCTACATTTTTTTAAAGCAGGCTTTTCTTTACGTTAGAGTTTCCCATTTGGATAAGTTTGTGGGGTTACGTAACTTTGTCTTTTCTTTCTTAGTGGGCCGGATTTAAAACTCCCTTCTTAAGAAATCCCTTGACCTTCAAATTTCCCTTTTCAAATGGAAAGACTCATGCTACCTCTTTTACAATATTTACAAATTTATCCCCTCTGAAAAGTAAATTCAACTTTAAGCACCGCTCAAGACCTGATTTCTGCACTAATGTAAGCACTTGGTGATGATGGTGATGATAATTACTACCATTTGTGGAACACTGTCAGGGGAGAAACCGAAACTTGGAGAGAGATTAAATAACTTGCTCAGAGTCGAACACCTAGTAAGCCGTGGAGCACCATGACTGATCCTCAGAAATATGTGTTAAACAGACAAATGAAAGCCACATTTCAAATTCACCCCTACCGGTCCTCAGAGCTGCAACGTTTAACCACAAGGCCATCTTCTCATGTTTTCATGAAAGCATCATCAGAGTACAGCCAACTGGAATCAAATTGGTGTTGATAAAAACTTGCCTAGCCCAGGTGCAGAATCATGTTTAAGATTTACTCTTAATAGATCAGAAAACATATATTGTGAAATACATTTTAAATAAATCACCCCAGATTAGGGCTCACTGATAGTTGGCCTCACTCTGTGGCAATAACTTGTGTGCATTTGCTTGAGAGTTCAACATGCTGACATACTTCACCAAGGCTACTGATAAGACTGCCCTCGGTACTTTCACCACAGGTCTGCGGAAGCCAGAAGGGATGAATTTTGTAAATATTTCCGATGCTTGTAATTTTAGTGATAGATCATCCACCCTGGAACTCCGTACACCCATCTTTCCACAACCCCTAGTTATTTTCTCCAGTCAGAAAGATGGGATGATAGATATTCACAATAATGAGACTATTAAAACAAACAAAAAACAGGATACCAAAGTTTGTAATGGAAAGAGGAATGTCAGCACTAAAATGAGAGATCCCAACTGGTGTTTTAGCACAGGAATAGAAACAACTGGGCCAGCACCCCTTCGGAAAGATGCTTCATCACCATTAGAATCTCCACGAGTTTTCTCTTTATTTTATAAAGTCCAGAGAGTACTTTTTACCCATGACAGTATAGGCAAACAAAAGGCTTTTGATCACATAATGAAAATTAACCAATTAAAAATATGAAAGTCTCATCTTACCTGCCTTGTAGTTTCAGCTGGGGAGCAGAAATTTTGTACAACCAAGCCAAGAAAAAAAATTATGAAATGTTGTAGCATGATGAGGAAATATATGCTCCTTCTCTGGGCCAGGCACCTGTCAGGATGGTTTAGGTATTTTAACTTAGTTTGATGAACTCGACTCCCAGTGAATTCTTTCTCATTTCAGTGTTTACTTTGAAATCCTTTCCTTTTCTTGGATTGAACCAGAAGAAAGGTGAAACCGGCCTCTAGATAGGAAAAAATGTCAAATCCAGGGGTCTTGGTGAAATCGGCCACGCTAAATGGTATATAAATATCCTGGCCGAATGACAGGATATCCTGAAGGGGCTCAGGCAGAGGCCTGGCCTGGAATTTCTGTGCCTGTGAAAGTCCCGGAACAGTTCCTGCCTCCCCGTGCTGCTGCGCCCCCGCCTCTGGTGCACCGACCTGCCAAGGCTTCCACAACCACGCCGTGGAACACCGCAGGCCTCTCTGTCCAAACGCAAAGGTCCAGGCTTGCCGTTGAGCCGTGTTTGTGGGAGTGCCCTTAAGTGGGCATGAGCCCAGGTGTGGAGAGGGGGATGCTGCAGAAACCTGGGTCCCTGCCTTTGAGGAGGGGGTAGCTTTACCCTGGGCAGTTGGCAAACTCTACTGCAAAGAAATGTCTCCTTGCAGTCGCCAACAGTTGTGTTTTCGACTCACTCTTTCTTTTCTCCCATGTCACTCCAGTAGCAAGTGACTGAGACCGTAGGTCTAATCTTACCTTTAAGGTCTGGACCTTTTGCCACCTGTTCAGGGAAGCCCTCCTGTCCTGTCCTGCCCTTGCACATGACCCTGCAGAGCCTCTCAGAGTTTTGCACACAATGCCATGAAAGCCCAGTCTCATCTATCGCAATTCACCTGTCTCCCACGCCCAGTTGTGAATTCCTCCAGGGCAGGGGCATAACCTTCATCTTTTCTGTACCCCTTGAAGCCTAGCGCAGAGACCTGTACTTGAAGATAATAAAAATAATTAATAATATTAGCTAACACTTTTTGAAAACTTAATACATGCCGGTCACTATTCCAGACCTCTCCATGGATTTACTTGTTTCATTCTCACAGCTCTTGGTGAAACAGGATTATTCTCTTCATTTTAAAGATGAGGAGACTGAGGCAGAGAGGTTAAGCAACTTACCCAAGGTCCCACAGCTAGTGGGTGGTTAATCCAGTATTCAAAACGTGTGGCTCCAGAGCTGGTGCCACCAACCACTACCCTCTACTGCCAAAACCAATAAATATTTGATGAATAAATAAATAGTAGGTGGTGTTTCAGTGCAATTGGAAACCCTGATGGGAAGGTTGCAGACCCAGCACCAGGAAGGATAAAGTCTGGGTATGTCCACCAGACAGGACACATCTCATGACACTGAATTAACTGGGAGACTCATGCAGCACAGATGCTAGTTTTGGTTAAATCATCCTTTTTTGTCTACAAAGAATCTCTCATCCTCATTCAACCTTTGAAACAACATTATATTGACCAGTAATCTAGGGAAACTTTTCCAACACAGACAGGCCCCTTGGCGGCTAGTTTAGAGGTCTAAATGGGCAGTTAAGGAAGTCCTCATAATCCCTTGGCTGAGCGTTAGAATCCTGCGGGAGCTTTAAAAAAAAAATCCTATCACTTGGCCCTACTCCAGAACGATCAAATCAGAACTCCTGGGAGTGGGGCGCAGGAGTATTTTTCAAAGATTCCTGGGCGATTTTACTTGCATCCAACTGCTGTTTGAGGAGAAAATAATTACTGTATGAAGCCAATGAGATTTTGAAGTTTGTCAGTTACAGTAGGTGTGTTACCTTAAATAATGCACCAGGGAAATAAGATGGACGCTTCGTTCTGATTCTTTTCTTTCTGACAGACATAGACAAATATCTGGTGCTCGGAATGGGCTAGATTCCAGGTGAAATAATAAAACGAACCCACACTAGCACTTCCCAAATAGTGTTTCACCAAACACTACTTAGTTCTGGGAGATGCTGTAGGAGTATCAGGGAAGAATTCTAACATCAGATGATTTGAGAAACCTTGTCTCTGATGTCCCTTTCTCATGGATTGATCATACTCGTTAGCCCACTAAAGGTTCTGAGAAGTCCTGCAGTAAAACAACATAACAAGATAAAACCCAAACACTTTAACTTCGCTTAAGGCAGGATTTCCCAAACTTTTGAGACCAAGGGATACTTTCTCTTTTTGCAAATTCATATTGACAACCTCCAGATCTTGTGTTCAATTAGTCTCTCTTAGGGAAATGCTGCCTTAGACTTCAGCAGGTAGACTATTTTATTTTTAAATTGCCAGGAAGTAGAAGTTAGCCTGCTAGTGGCCACAGTCTAGGACCTGCGCATAGGGTTTATCAATCAGTTTCATTAAAAAATAATAAATCAACAAAACCTATAACTCACATGGTGTTGTTCAGAAATTGTCTGAATAGTTGTATTAATTAATTTTCTTTTTGTTAGGCTCTTTTGATTGCTATGAACAGAGATTCTTCAAGTTATTCTTCAAGGTAATCCCTACCACCCCGCAACTGACAAGCAAAGAGCTGAGAATGATGCCTAGTACACAGTGGATGCTCAGTCACTCTTGACCATAACTATGCAGTTAAATATGCAAATATACGCAACAGCTACACAAATCTCTACTCTTGGCCAGTTGTAGCTCCGAAGTGGGTGTGGATTTCCCCTCTCCTGGATTGTCCCAGTTCTGCAGATCTGTGTGTCCCTTACTGGGCAAAATGTCACTTTCTTTATTGTGGTCCACATTCCTTTTTGCAAATTGTTGCAATCCCTGTCTCTATTCGTTCAAAGTGGTTTTTGATCAGTAATATTTCACAGGCAGCTTGCCCCCCGACTCCCCACATCCCCTCTGTGCCGTGGACAGTCACTCAGGACCCGGGGATGGCTTTTCTCTTTCCAAGCCTGCTGTTTGCTCTCACTGCTTGCTTCTTGTGTCTTCCTGGATCGATACTCACTTCCTTTCCCCTGCGATCTGTCCTCAGCGGTGGCAGTGTGAGAGCTTTTAGTTTCCTCTTGGGTGGGAGGAGTAATTCCTGATTGGAATCTGAAGAGACTTTTCCCACGTCGGAAAAGGAAAACAAAAAGTGGGGGGAAGGTTGTAAACTTCCTGGGGAGCACTGTGGAGCAACCTCCGTGGCTGTAGGATTCTGACTGTTAGTGTTGAAGTGTTCCTTTCTCTATGCCATGCTTGCTACTGAATTTTTAGTCCTTGGTCACTTTAAGTAATAAAACATTTTGTGTGCGCTTTGAGTAGGACTCAAGAAAGGGGACTCATCACCTTTGTCATCATCATCATCATCGTTATAGTAAACTCACATATGGCTTTCATCATGTGCCAGACACTCTTCTAATCTTTAATTCATTTACTATTTTCAATAAGCCTAATTGAATCTTTTTATTGACTTAATAAAGTTAAATATTTATTTAAATTTAAATTATTGAATTTAACTTATTGAATCTTCACTGTAAGCCTAATGCATAAGTATTGCCATCATTCTCATTTTGGAGACGAGAAGACTGAAGCAGAAAGAGGATGAGTAACTTCTCTGTGGTCACGAAGCTGGTAAGTGATGGGCAGACAATTGGATCTAGGCAGTGTGGATTCACTGAGCCATCCACTTGACTTGCTTTGGTCCTCTGTGAATCTTGAGCAAGGTCTTCTTGGACCTTGTGAGATGGCCAAGAGGGTTAGAGTTTATTCTTATGAAGGAGAATAAGTCTTAACTGTCCACTTAGGGATTGTTATCTTTTGCTTTGCAGGGGGAAAAAAAAGCCCAGAAATTGGGAATCTGAGGCTAATTTTTCTGATTAAAATTTATTTATTTTCATTCTTTCAGCAGCTTTTACTAAACTGAAGAAGAAGAAGATCTCAGAATAGTAACAAGGTATTGATCTTTCTTGAACATCTAGCTAGAAAATTGAAAAAGTTGCTTTACATGGTTTTAACAGATCCAACAGCTCCTAGAGTTTTTCCAAAAGAAAGTGGTGCTTTGGGAAGTGACAATTTTATAATAGAAGAGGTAACAAGAGCCAGTCCCTGAAAACATTCAGCAGGAGAAATCAGTGGGAGTTATTTGGACATGCCTCCCTGGATGCCTCCATAACTAACGTGGTCCTTGATAAAATTTAGATTCTGGTCAAGGTGGAGCAAACAGAACTAACAAAATAAGCTTTCAACATCTCATTTCATGATTTCAAGTAGTTTAAAAAATAGTTTTCCAGGAGGAGAGATTTTTCTGCCCTGGCTTGTGGATTTTTCCCTGAGTAGGCACTTTCAGTGGAATCCAATTTTATTATACAAATAGCTTGGTGTTAAATTCAGCCGGACATCCTTTTTTTCTACTCATTGGGCAGAATTCTTGGCACCTGAAACATCTTGGCCAGTGTACAGAATATTTTTCTTCTCTCCTTTACATCGTATTGTGATATCGAGATAATCCAATGGCTATTTATATTCCAAATACAGACATTGTTAAAAAAGAATTCACATTCTTCTTCTTCTTTTAAAATACATTTTTTGTACTGATTTTATGAGCAATATTGCATTTATTTTTTTCTTTGCCTTTCTCCCTTCCTTGGTTTGGGTAGTAATATCTTGTATTTTTTTAGACCAAAGGACTTAACAAGCTAAACAGAGAGTAGTCTGTGGTTTCTTTTTAATGATGCTTTGAAATAACATTTGTTTAAAAGTCTTCAAGTGAAAATTTAAGATTTCATTTGGCCTGATTTATGTAGGTAGCTATGTTCAATGTACACCTTGACTTTGATTGTGTAGATATAGGTCATGTCAAACAGGATGATTTTTTTTTTGTTGGTTGTTATCACACTGTAAATTTTACTTATACACTTATTCGCTCAACGAACATTTATGGAATGCCAGACATTATGCTGGGCTCTGAGGACTAGCGGTAGATAAAAGCCTTGTGCATTTTAGCTTCCAGATACTTTTGTACATATTATATCACCTAAATATTATTACAACTCTGTGAAACAGTCTGGGCAAGGAGTATTTTACCTTGATTTAGCAGCTGTAAAGATTGAGGCATAAAGGAACTGAGTGGTTTATTCAGGATCAATAAGTTAATATGTGGTTGAACTAGTAATAGATGCCAGGTAATCTCACTCTAGTCCTGTGCTGAGCCCGTTGTGGCAGACCACCTTTCTGATACCTGGTGCTGATGC